TTGCCAAGGCATATCAAACACATCGGTGTGGCTGGTAAAAAAAAAAATCGTGCAATTTTGCCAGTGGAACCATTTTCACCATGGCTCTTCTTCTGCTCATCTGTCCCAACAGAGGACCGATTTAGCTTCCCGGTGCGGTACTTTTGAAGTCAGAGCCCTAGGGATTGTTTCAAGCGCAACATTTACGCTGATTGTGGCTTATTTTTGTGCAAATAGCGCAGGTGCGACGACCATGACCGTCGATGGCGTAAGCGCGCATGACTTTCCTTGTTTTGCTGTGAGTATCGACGTAGACGCTGAGGTTGAAATGTAGTTGGACCGAAATTTTCGGTAAGTTACCGGAAAGAAGAAGCTCTTGACTGCCTAGATTTATCTTTCCCTGACCCACGAAAATGACTGGCACGATCAAAGTCTACACTAGCCTAACTCTTCCACCAGCAATGAGACATCTGCTGCAAATTGGTACCGTGACACGGATTCGTGAATATCAACTTGCAAGTCGTCAGTCGTCAAGTTTTCTCCGTTGATCATGAGAAGCATGAGCCAACCCATCCTTCACCTGTCATTGAACACTTGAGCCTGTATCAAAGTGTGTGACAGCGTCAACAGCTTTCGGTCTTAACACGCGTCCGGGGGGCTGGCTAGATAGCCCTCGCTCGGGTGGGGATCAATGTGACTCCCATGAAATCTCGGGAACTGAGAAAGGTAGAAACACTAAATTTACAGGGTGTGTTGACCTGCACGGGACCTCACTTGAGGTTCCTAGATCATGACCTTCGGGTCAAATAAGGTCAAACAAGGTCAAAATCCAGGTTGGTTTCTTAAGTGCCCCGAGAACCTAGATAACTGTTTCTAAGCAAAAGGTCACACGCTCATCTAAGGCCAGCAACCTTTTTTGACATTTTGAAGGTCAGGGTGACCAAAACCATACAAGACTGCTCTGAGTTTTGCATTTGAATAAGCCACAAAGATTACGCTAGGCGGTATGCTTCTTAAAAACAAAATGCTGACCCAGGTCATTTTAGGTCCATGACCTATTCTGACCTCTAAGAAGTCCATGAAAAGTGCATAATGCGGTTCCTCCTATTAACAAATTCGAGATGAGCACCAGAAATTATCTCATACGGCAAGCCCTAGGGTAATAAAACAGGTTGGTCATGACCCCTGGTCTGACCTTCATGCCTGACTTTAGGTCAACGTAATTTGCTTATTCAATACTTGTGTTGCCGAAGAAAGCATCTCAGAGATGTATGGTTTCGTTTAACACTCCGTTGTTGCATCAGATTAAACGATTCCCTAGAAATGGTCTTTGCTGAGACCATAGCCTGACTTCGACCTGCTATAGGTCAGTGATCGTACAAGGTACATCTCAATTTTTGATGTCAAACGATTTGCTATTTAATTGGCTACATCCATGCAAGGTTTGGCACGGCTACGCCGCGCCGTTCGGAAACCATTTGGGAAAAACCTTCGTGGGGTCAATTTGACCCCCACCCGAGCGCGTGTTAATCAACGCCTTCATATAAGCAAGAAAGGCGCTCAGCTTCTGGTTGCTCGGCAGTGTGAATTCAGGAAAAAACGATGGTATATGCCAAGCAATGATATCTTGATATCTTGTCAGCACACAGCATTTTAAGCCAAGCTGTGTCTTTGATCACGACTGTATTGACACGACTGAGTAACACTTTCGGCTCATTATATTAAGCCAAACTTGGAGCGTCGAATAGGTCAATGCATCCCATGCTTGCTCTACAACGTCTTTAGAGTTATATCTCCTGGTATATGAAAGGCTGATTACGTAGCATAACAGCTCTAAACTCACGAAATTTCATCCACAAAATCGTTCTTCAAAGCAGCAAGCACCCACGAAGGCCTTGCGAACGTTTCCAATATGTTAATTGAGTCTTACAGGAATTCCTGCTTTAGGTACAATCCAGCTGTCAAATTTGAATGGACCTTCCGCTGCATGGGGATCATTTCAGCATGTTCTTTTATCCACTGACCGTGATTACAATAGACACCAGCGGCTTCGACGTGTCGGAGCTTGCGTAGATCCAATGCTTGCACGTGTTGATACCGCTCTGAATAAGGAGCAGAAGACACCGCGTCTGTAAGGAAAGCGGGGTCCATAATTAGGTGACAATGGTTAGCACGCCATCATCCGGAAGCCTTCTAGGCTGACGGCGATAAAGAAGCTTTGCAAAATCCATTGGCTGAAAGTGTTCGACATATGTGCGGTGAAACCGAGACGAGAGATGAGGCGAGGGCGACTAGCACCTTTTCGGCTGACTAGTATCTACGGCTCAATGAATATCGCAGGTTGCTTTGCTGTGTTTAAATTTGAGTGAAACGTCCTTCCTCCTGGGTGAATAATATGAGTGTAGCAAAAACAAGCGTAAATCTAAGTGCTCTTTTCACAACGTCGACAGTCGTACAGCGAAACAATCATGGTACGGTGATGCCTGGGAAGGGGGTTTTTGCTAAATGTAACTGGCCGGATTCCATCCGGCTTATAGCTCATTGCTTCTTAACGCTAGCGATTGTGTTGTTTACCCGTGTATCTCCTTTCCATTTTGCAAAGACTGCTTAGAGATTTCCCTTGCAAGATGTTTGTCCGTTTAACTTAAAATCGGAAACAGTGATGGGAAATAAAAGCGAGGCCGTCATTGTCAGAAGCAAAAGCATTTGACGTGCCCTTGAAAAGAAACAATGCATTTATGGTACTAACCAAGCCTTCTTACGAAGTAGAACTCATGTAAAACCGGTTTAACTAAACATATGTAACCAAAGAACCGTGGCAAAAGATCATAAAAATGCTGCACATTACTCGAATTCACACAAATTATACCTCGATGCAAAGTACAAGGAACATTTCGTCGCTTCTTCGTTCTGGCTTTCAATACGCATCCGATATAAGGCCAGGGTAATCAACACTGTAATGCCTCTATACAGCATAATGAGCCCCAAAATTCCCCCAAGCGGGACTTCCTTGACCAGTTAACAGTTAACTTCGTTTGCTTGTGAATTCTTTACTATTACGAACAATTGTTCTTGGTCGTCTAGGCTCAAAGGCGTCCAATTTGATGTGTTTTTGTTATTAGGAAACTGCATCCGCTCGGTCGGTTATGGATTCCTTCGGAGCCTTTAGGTTCCCTGGGCATGTTTCATGGGGGTATGGTCCCGTGCCTCAAGATTTGGCCAAATTTGGCGCGGCGGCCCCGCGCCGTTCGGAAACTATTCCGGAAAAATCTTCGGGGGGTCAACGTGACTCCCACCCCAGCGCGTGTTAAGTCACAGCTCGGTCTCCGGCGTTGGCAGCGCTGTCCAGCCTGTAGAGGTCGTTGATGGTGTGGTTGCTTGAGCTTGGGCCGTGGCAATGGTTTTGGAAGCTGGGGACTGAAGCTCCCCACCCAAATCAGAGCCCAAAAGCGAGACGGCCCATTGGTCGTCTCCTTTACCACAGAATGGATTACTGACAACGCTGATGCGCATCCCTTTTCTTGACGTAGCACAGGCGCTGTAACGGAGACCTCGTTTGCGTAAATATTGCATGCGTTACCTTCTACAATCACCATCCAATTCACATCTTTGTCTACAAATGACGTGACGGTGTGCTGAGCCGGGGTTTAGTTTGAACTTTATAGCAATACTCGAATCACTCGTCAAGCCCCGTTCACTGGTCGCACCGCGGCTCTGTAAACAACATGTAGCCGTACCTTGGACTGTGATAACATCACAGAATGTGATTTCGTTGAAAATGTTTAATACACATGGCCGTGCATCCTGTGAAGCAGTCTCAGTTCTTTCACGGCCCATTTAAACCTATGACGTAGGTGAAGTCTTGCGGCTCAGGACTACTCACCTTCGCTGTGATTGGGCCGTGTGCCTCCAGACGAGCCACAAGATGGTCTATATCCCCTTCGTTTATCACCTGTACGTCCTGTTTGTTCATGGTCGGACCGAGCATGAGCCCTCACCGCCACTGGCGCGCCGATAAAGCCGACTGACAGCTGCCCGTGGGCGTGCCAGACCCATGGTGACAGGAGGCCCTGCTCCGAGCCCGATAGTGTCAACACCAGGTCTGAGAATCTCTCCCTCTCAAGGCCGTTCTCGGCTGCAGGCGACAGGCGGACCGTCCTGGCACGCCTGCCTTGTGCCAAGGTCGGGGTGCGCAACGACCACAGAGCATGTGTCCTCCATGGCCTACAGCGCACCTTACCGCGAGATGGCGTTGCGCGCGGCACATCTATCCACCTCGGGCCGCCTGCTGCGTTTTCCAATGAGCGAGTACGGTTTTTGTTTGTCACGTTTTGCCTTGGCGTACGCTCCGGAAGTGCGCGCCAAGACGACCTAGCACCTAGCGAACACGCTACGGGACGAGTTTGACCACATTATGCGAGGCACCGTTTTAACTCGGAAAACGCCATGTCGTTCGATTGCCAATTTATTTCGACGTTTGATAGTGACCGTCACAGCCATGTTTGAGAATGGTTGTAAACGCTGTGTACGCATAGAAGTATTCAGGGTTGTCGATTTCTCAAAATTGTTGGGGGACAGAGTCTTTGGAATGCTACCGTATAAGGAAAGTTAGCGTTGAACTTCTCGGATATTACCCATTTTTGTTTCTGGCATGCAATGATATATATACATACATACACATGCACATGTTATATATATATATATATATATATATATATATATATATATATATATATATATATATATATAGGTGTGTGAAGCATATATGCATAAAAGCAACGGCAAAGTCAAGGTAGCCTCAGCGAGGGCTAACGTGCGATCAGCCGCACCGAAACGCGCGTCATCGGCTTCGAACAACATGCCACCTAAGCCAAGCGCGAGTGGCCTTCCGTCGTCTCGCCAAATCACACCCCGCCTCGCTTCCATTCCCACTATTAAAACCCAGACCGTCAGCTGTTAATCATGTTAATATCCATATATATATATATATATATATATATATATATGTGTGTATATAGACGCTTCAAAGTTTGTATTCATAAACTTTGACCGGCAGTTATACGCGCTACGATAATGTTCTCGTCGGACCGCCCGGCTGCTGGACGCCATCATCTTACTCCGTTTCTTGCGTCGCACCGACTTCTGCTGGATAGACTTGCGCCCAGAACACGTTGCAGACCGAACTGTAGCCTAGCGGTTTCATCATGTTCATCACGGACGGCACGGCGGTTGCGACCAGGCAGGGCAGGCGGCGCTGCAGGAAGAGCCGTGTGAGCTCGGCCATCGCCAGCCGCGCCAGGCCTCGCCGCCGGTGCGACTCCAGCGTGTGCAGGAAGCCCAGAAACGCGTTTCTGTTGAGCAGCACCCAGCAGACGAGCTCGCCGTCAGGTGATGACGCCACGTCATTGTCGACGGCGACAAACACGCCGACGCTGAGGCCCACCGTCATGCCGTCGCGCATCACACCGTCGGCATCGGGGGTAACCGCTGTGTACGGCCAGAAACGCTTGACGGTGTCCAGGTGTATGCCGTCCAGCGGCCTCACGGAGACGCCCGGCGGGCTGTGAACGAGTGTCAGGCGGGCATACAGTCAGCGGAAGCATCACCTGTCGACCGCGCGTGACATCCCCCTGACGTTAGTACATACAGTGAGCAGGGTGATTCAGTACCCGTGGGTGAAGATTACGGCAACACCTATATGCAAGCTACTTCAGTTATGTTGACCCGGCACCGTTTGGGATATTTCGTCAACCGCAACCTCCCGGGGGTAGAACTTCCCCGGATATCTCAGAATAGCATCGACCGATTGGAAACATTCAAGTGGCAACCAACCATTCCGGAGGAGCTTTACCCGCGATCTGTAGACATAAGGCGACTGACCACATCGCAGGCAACGTAGCTATTCATGAGGACCGCACAAATATTCGAACGATTTGCTACGGTCCTGTTGGCGTTTGGTCGTACTGGTGCCGCTTGTCGTATATCTTTTCACTCGACACTAATCCAAAATACTCGACATTCTGGCGCTTCAGAATCTCGTCATGATATTAGCAATAGTGTAGGTGGTCTGCTCACTCCTGGTCTCTGATTCTTTGGGGGCATTAACACGCGCCTGGGTGAGGCCAGTTTGACCCGCGAACGCTTTTTTCCAAAATGATTTCCGTACGACGCGGTCAAGTCGCGCCAAAACTTGGCAAACTGTAGGCAATTTTATGACATGTTTTTGTTCACAAGATTGAAATGTGCCCTGTAAGGTCGGTGTCCCATTGCAGGTCAAAATCAGGCTGTTTCTATCACCGAAGTAGCATTCTGCTGTACTGTTCAACTGCATGCGAGAACAAATTATTAGACGAGATCACTGGCCTAAAATGACGCAGAGCAACATGTTGTCTGGACGAGCATACCACCTATCATAATCACTGACACTTATTGAAATTGAAAACAATACAGCAAACTCATAGGTTTTTAGCCACCACGACCCTCTAAATGTCGAGGAAGGACAATGAATTGCAATAACCGCAAACGGCATTTAAGTCACTCGACACAACGACATGTAAGTATATAGTGGCTGCATGAGGAGCTCTGAGGACACCTTAAAGACAACCCAGAATTTGGCATTGTTTCACCCTAAGGTCATGACCTAAGAAAATCAAATCTGGATACACATGAGTTCACATACAAGGCCACCCCACTCTGTACATTTGGTGCCTCTAGCTTGGGATCAAATTGAGCCTCTCCTTAGCAAAGATAATCATACAGTCACCCGGACGCATGTTAACACGCGCCCGGGTGGCCTACTGGATTCCTTGCTCTCGGGTGGGGGTCAATTTTCCCCTCCCTCTGAGATCCCAGGAGCTAAGAGAGCCAAAGACACAAAATCCACAAGATGTGTTGGTCCGTAGTTGGTCTTACTTAGGTCAAAATCTGAGGTTTCTAGGTCATGGCCTTCGGGTCAAATGTGGTAAAAGAAGGTCAAATTCTAGGCTGGTGTCCAAGTCGTCCTAGAACCTAGATACCTGTTTTTACCTAAAGGCCACATGCTCATGTAAGGTTATTGACCTGGTTTGATATTTCGAAGGTCATAGTGAACAAAATCATAGAAGACCGAGTTGAATTTTCCATTCGAATAAGCGACAAAGGTTACGCTAGGTAGTATGTTCCTAAAAAGAAAATGTTTACCTGGACCACTCTATATCAGTTACCTTTTCTGACCTCTACGTGGTCCTTTGAAGATGCATAATGCTGTTCCCATTATCAATAAATTCGAAGTGAGCACCAGAAATTGCGCCATTCGGCAGGTCTTAGAGTAATACAATAGGTTGGCTTTGACCTTAATCTGGCATCCATACCCGAGTCTACACCATTGGAATACGGACATTCGATTGTTGTGTTGCCTAAGGAAGTATCTCAGAAATGTATGGTTTCTTCTAACACCCTGCTGTTGCATCGGGCTGAACGATTCCACAAAATTGACTTCGCTGAATCCATGGCCTGATTTTGACTTACCGTTGGTCAGTGGCTTAACGAGGTAAATCTACTTTTTTGTATCAAGCGATCTGTTGTTTAACTGTCTACATCTATGCAAAATTTTGGCGCGGTAAAACTGCGACGCTTAGAAATCATTGCGAAAAGATCTTAAGGGATTCGAATTTAACCCCACTCGGGTCCATGCTAACACGCTGTTCAGTCGTATACGCATTCACGGGTATGAACGTGCGCTTATAATTTTTCACTAACCAATCGTTCATACTTGGCAAATGCTAGCTTTCGGGCACTGCATTTCCGTAGCACCAATAGCAAAGCTGATATTTCACCTCCCACCTGTTCACATTACATGCAATGCAAAACATGCCTCGGCTGCAAGGAGCCAGATCAACCCAGATCCTAGAGTCACCACACGAACACAACCCATCGGCCAGAGCTGCCTCTCCTTTCTCCCAGGCAGGTTGAGCATACGCACCAGCGGGTCAGCACATCCTCGGCCGGCGAAGACGCCTCCTTGACGAACAACGTGTTGGCTTCGATGAGTCTGGAGCTGAACTCTCTCTGGTGACGGACGTAGTCCAGCACCGGCTCCAGGTAGCAGGGCCAGCAGTCGGCACGGAACGGCACCCGCCACAGATGTTCGTGCAACTCAGGCGCCAGCATGGCGGCAGCCAGGCGACGCATGCTGGCTGCGTCCTCCGGCGCGAAGGCGTCGACCACGTGCAAGTCAGGCGCGGCCAACTGTCGTAGGTCGGCAGGAGGAAAGCCGGGGTCAGGTCAAGTTGGAGGAGAGCGAGCGCATTAGGCCGGCTCAGGTCAGGCGTGGTTCCCCGCTGAAGGAATGGGGTGTAAAGTTACGGGGAGGGAGGGCTTCCAGAATAGGCGGATATCCAACGCGCACGTTAATAGCGAGCGTCTAGAGCCATTTAGTTCGCTCTTCAATCAACAGCTTTCATAAGCACGAGAGAAATTCAGCTCGTGGTTGTTCGGCATTGTGGATTCAGAGAAACGAGGCTATGTACCAAGCAATGGTGAAATTGTCGGTATGCAACATTTCAGGCTCTGCTAAAAATCACGAATGCATTGATACAAGTGAGTAGCACTTTTGACCCGTAATCATAAGCAGAGTTTGGAGCACCGAATAGGTTGCTGTATCCAGTGGTGGCTCCCCAACGTCGTTAAGCCTGTATCTCCTGGTATTTGAAAGGCTGATTACTTAGCATAAGAGCTCTGAACTCATGAGTTTCATCTACAAAATCTCTCTCGAAGGCAGCAAGCACCCGCGGAGACCTTGCGAACATTTCCAATGTTGCTTGGGTGTTACATGATTTCCTGCTCTAGGTCCTACTCTGCTGTCAAATTTCAACGGATTGTCTGTCGCGTGAAGCTTATTTCAGCATGTTCTTTTATCCACTGACCGTAATTACAATAGACACTAGCGGCTTCGACGTGTCGGGGCTTGCGTAGATCCAATGCTTGCACGTGTTGACGCCGCGCTGAATCAGAAGCAGCAGACACCTCGACTGTAAGGAAAGCGGGGTCCATAGTTAAATGACAATGGTTTGCACGCCATCACCCAGAAGCTTTCGAAGCTGACGGCGATAAAGAGTAGTTGCAAAATCGATTGGCTAAGAGTGCTCGACACATCACACACACACCACACACCACACACACACACACACACACACACACACACACACACACACACACACACACACACACACACACACACACACACACACACACACACACACACACACACACACACACACACACACACACACACACACACACACACACACACACACACACACACCACACACACACACACACCACACACCACACACACACACACACACACACACACACACCACACACACACACACACCACACACACACCACACCACACACACACACACACACACACACGCACACACACACACACACACACACACACACCACACCACACCACACACACACACACACCCACACACACACACACACACACACACACACACACACACACACACACACACACACACACACACACACACACACACACACACACACACACACACACACACACACACACACACACACACACACACACACACACACACACACACACACACACACACACACACACACACACCGAGACGAAAGCTGAGGCGAGGTGGACTAGCATCTTTTCGGCTGATTAGTATCTATGTCTCAATGAATATTCGCAGGTTGCTTTGCTGTGTTTAGAATTGAGAGAAAAGTCCTTCCACCTGGGTAAGTGATAGAGGTTAGCAACAAAGAGCATAAATCTAAGTGCTCCTTTCACAGCGTCGACAGTGGTACAGCTAAAAAAATTGTGGTGCAATGGTGTCTGGGAAGAATATTTTTGATAAGTGTAACCGGGGGCTTCCATCCGGCTTATAACTTATTGCTTCTAAACGTTTATGATTGTGTTGTTTACCCCGTGTATCTCCTTCCCGTTTTGCAAAGAGCGTTTAGGGATTTTCTCTTCAACATGTTTGTCTGTTTAACTTTGAATCGGAAATACCTATTGGAAAATGAAAGCGAGTCTGCTAGTGTTAGAAGCGAAAGCATTTGGCATGCCCTTGAAAAGAAATATCGCATTTATGGCACCAGCCAGTAACCAGCCTTTCTCACGAAGCAGAACTCATGTAAAAACGGTTTGACTTAACATATGTAACCAAAGAACCGTGGCAATGGATCAATAAAATGCTGCACATTACTCGAATTCACACCAACTATACCTCGATACAAGTTACAAAGTAAAGTTCGTCGTTTCTTGCGCGAAATAAATCTGTATCTGTAAAAAGTCTTGGAAAGATGACACAGAAGGATCCGCAGAACCGCAGCTCAGTTTAAGATTTTCAGAGCTTGATTTCTCTGATTCAAAACATTTTTTTCAACGCCTTAGGTTTTTGAGTCTTCATTTTTGCTTAACACTGTTCAATTATGGTCACCGGGCACTGGGGGATATATTTCTGACTGAATGAATGGCGATATTCCCGGATAGTGAAACACGGCTGACCCAGGGTGCAGTCTTGTGGCCGCCCGTCGATGGTTTTTAGAGACAAAGGAACTGAGTGAAGAAACGGGCAGCACCTCGTAAAAGGCACACCGAAAAGCGCATCTCTGCTATGAAACAGAGGGCATAAAGTGTGCACTCATGTCACATCGCATTTACTCTGAATAAAACAACCGGAACACCAGTGCGACTACCAAAGGTAGCGGTCCTGTGCACTGCATCGGTAGCGCGACGTAAGAAAAATTCTAGAGGAAGCTCGGCACTTTTCGTCGATGGGAGGTTTCCAAATTTCCTGGCATATCAAGCATTCGTTTGTCAAAGCACACTCCATGGACATCTTCCCCTCCTGCAACGATGTCATAAGGGCTACCCGAGAAATTGATGCACAGAGAGAACTCACTCTATCACTGTCGCGCGAGTGGAAGTACCTCTACATTTGCTTCTTGAACACGTCGCTACGCGACTGGTGGAGCTGCAGGAGCTGGTCTGCCCGTCTGGCGACAACGGCTGCACCGGTCATAGTCACAAAAAACAGAGCGGTCCGGCAGAGCCAGCCTGGGACAGACAGTCGTTTATCGTCTCATTGGTACTCCTGTGTCAGACCTGCGGTGCCAGTCTAGTGTTGTAGGACAGAACACAAGCCTCCTACAGACTATTTCGACTACTGAAGGCAGAGCACTTCAGCGAGTCGGCCAAAAATCAGTCAGAACGGGTCTATCCTACTGGGATCGGTAGATCAGTGATCTGTAGCCGCACGCTGTCTACCCGGACCAGCCGGACGTCGACGTCAGCTTCCGGCGGCACCAGACAATGACTGATGACAAGGTTACGACCGCCACCACCGAGGCAAGCTCCAAACAGTGCTGCACTATCTGGAACATCACACTAAGCAGGAATAAATGGTCTATAGGCGATGAACCAGAGGCATGCCCGGGAAACTTATATCATGCTTGGCCCGAGCTAGATGCAAGCATTGTGATGATTTTCGAATGCATGGTTCACCTACGTTACACGTCAGAGAACCACACGTCGCAAGAACGTGCGGCGGAAGCGAAGAAATGCGTAGCGACTCAAAACACAAATACAAATTTTGAAGTTGTATGCAATGCAAAGCACTTTTAGGAGAACATCCACTCCTATGTGGACCAGCCCAGCCAAGGAGATCATGTAACGAAGGGGACACGGCTCGACAGGCGTTCCAGAGCGCGAGCACTCCCGGATTCACCACTGCGGTCCACGAGCTGCTGATCCACTAGCCACGTGTTATGCTGCAGCCCATGTCCTCTGGTTACGATGTTTCAGCCCATGACCTCTGGTTACGATGTTTCGGCCCATAACCTCTGGTTACGACGTCCTTTCAACCATAATTGAGTCACACAACACTCAGAACAAGGGAAGTCTCCGCTTCCCTTGAAGCCGGTTGGGGACGCCAACTGGCCAGGAATCTCCCCTCTGCGGGAGCTCGGCGGCGATGGGGGCGCCTGGCTGCCACTGCGCTGTCCATCGGGAGCAATGGCTCTCACTTGAGAGAGCGCAGGCGCGTCCCCGGACAGCAGAGCCGCTGATGGCGGCCACGGACCCAGCGGACTCCACATTTGTATGAGGCTTTAAACTGAGATAGCTTTCTTGAATCATTCGGTGCAGATCAGAGCGCTGCCCATCTTAAGACCCGGAGTTTCCAGCTTCTAGTCTTTCGCCTAATTTCTGAGCTATGCACTCGCGAAGACGCGCGACTTTTTCGGGAAGGCTATTTTAAGGATATCCAGGCATCCATGACGTCAGAAAAACATAATCAAAGTGTTGCCATTTCACTGGCCATGTGGCGGTTCACTGGCACAACAATTATTGTCTTTCATGTCTGGCGCCCGTGAGCACCATTTGCCGACATAATGACCGTCTATTTACACTTAATCGATGTGCAATCTATGCATCACTTTAACGCTGCTTGCAACTAGTTTCATAAACAGATAATGCCGTTGAATTGAGGCGTAGGGAGTAACTTTCTGGGGTTTTACCTCTAATCTGGCTGCAGGAAGTAAATAGCAACTATTTACGTCAACGCCCGTAAAAGTATGATATTTACGGAGCATTTGAACTAGGCTGAATAAATCTATACTTCACCAGGTATCCATCAGATTACATAAGCGCAGCTGACTTGACCATGGAGTAGACATTCACCCCGGAACTGAAATAGATTAAAAATATGCTCTGGTCTGTCCTAAGATCATCATTGGTGATCATAAAGGAGCCAGCTCATGGCCGTGCAAGAGCGAAGGATTAGGCCATTTAGACCGAGGATCAGCCTGCAGTGAGACATTGCTGAGACATGAAGCGATGCCAACATCACACGGGCGGTTGAGTTTGCATATATGAGAAACTCAATGCAACTGTAGTTCGTACAGATTTCTGGGCATCGCAAACATAAGAACTGTGGTCGAAAAAGCTGGCAGACCGTTATAAAAATCAATCTCTCTCCCACATGACGCGCATTTCACTGGATCATTTTTTCACTACTGTGACATGAATACACATTTTGTGTTAACAAGACACACAACATAGAGTAGGCGTAAAGTCAGCTATTTTAAGAAGATTTTGTCGTTGTTGTGCATAGTTTCTAGATACGTAGCACAAGAAAGCTCAGGGTATGGATGTACGAAACACGAGTACATTTTGTTTTACTTCTTCGTATAGTGAAACAATACCAATAATTGTACACTTTCTGCATTCCAGCGAATTACAAAAGTGATCGTGATTATTCTTTGATGTAATTGTCACACAAATCACGAATGCATCATCGAGTTAATCCATAAATGACCAGATTTTTTAAGTCACCTTTAAGATATTCCTGGATTTTTAATCAGCATGCTAGCCTTTTGGGGCCAAAGCAATAGCAAGGTTGCCATGGGAACGACCGTTTGTATCGCTATTGAAATTGCTTCACTTCGGTATTTTACGATTAATTTCCAAGGAGCCATGCCAAGTTAATCACGCCGGCGAAAGAAATAGGGAGTTACGTCGAAAATACTTCGACTAGCAGGGAGTAAGTAGGAACTTCTCTTTATGAAACCGGATGTTGATTATCGGTCATATAAACTAAAGCCCTTTCGACCATCAATGATCATTTAAAGGCTATGGGATGAAGATGGACAACGGTGAGGCAAGTCTACACGCGCCTGGGGGGCTAAACGCCGAGAGTTAACCCGCGCAAGGGACCGCTCTGCAGGGTATGCGTCGTGCACCCGGTCGGGGTTCCTCTCCAGGTTGCCTCTCGGCCCACCCGTTCTGGCTTCACTTCGCTTTCATTATCATCCTTATTTCTCTCCTTATGTCTTACAAAACACTTTTCCGCGAGATGGCGTGGCGTGCGGTGTATCTATCCTCCGCGGGCCACGTGCTGCGTTTTCCAACGCGCGAGTAGGTTCTCAATTTGCTGCCATGAGATCAGCAGCCTAACAGCCTGTAACATGACCGCGGTCGCATAAAGTTTCTATGACGTCATTACTGCCGAGGCAACTTTGACATAAGCTCCAAATATACCTTTTCGTACTTTTGCGGGCGTGTAACTCAGAAACCAGATCGCTTGGGTCTTAAAAAGGACATGACCTTAAACTGCATCAAAAGGTCCTCAAAATAGCTATTTCAGTTCAAAACGTCCTACAAATGTGGAACATTCTCTTGGGCCGCACTGTACCACTTGACGTCACTCGTCGGCTGAGGCGGGCGAAATCGGCTCCGGTAGTCCGTATCCGGCAGTATCCGAATCATCATGTGAAGGGTTGCGAGGAAGTGGGACAGTGTCCCAACCCGTGGATCTCACGCACGCTGACTTCATTGACACTGGGCCTTATGACCAGTGCCCTGTATGAACTCTGCACGTTTCAATACGCATCCGATATAAGGCCAGGGCAGTCAACACTGTAATGCCTCTATACAGCATAATGAGCCCCAAAATTCCCCCAAGCGGGACTTCCTTGACCAGTGAAGAATTAGCTTCGTTTGCTTGTGAATTCTTTACTATCACGAACAATTGTTCTTGGTCGTCTAGGCTCAAAGGCGTCCAATTTGATGTGTTTTTGTTGTTAGGAAACTGCATCCGCTCGGTCGGTTACGGATTCCTTCGGAGCCTTTAGGTTCCCTGGACGTGTTTCATGGGGGTATGGTCCCGTGCCTCAAGATTTGGCCAAATTTGGCGCGGCGGCCCCGCGCCGTTCGGAAACTATTCTGGAAAAATCTTCGGGGGGGTCAACGTGACTCCCACCCCAGCGCGTGTTAAGTCACAGCTCGGTCTCCGGCGTTGGCAGCGCTGTCCAGCCTGTAGAGGTCGTTGATGGTGTGGTTGCTTGAGCTTGGGCCGTGGCAATGGTTTTGGAAGCTGGGGACTGAAGCTCCCCACCCAAATCAGAGCCCAAAAGCGAGACGGCCCATTGGTCGTCTCCTTTACCACAGAATGGATTACTTACAACGCTGATGCGCATCCCTTTTCTTGACGTAGCACAGGCGCTGTAACGGAGACCTCGTTTGCGTAAATATTGCATGCGTTACCTTCTACAATCACCATCCAATTCACATCTTAGTCTCCAAATAGCGTGACGGTGTGCTAAGCCGGGGTTTAGTTTGAACTTTATATCAATACTCGAATCACTCGTCAAGCCTCGTTCACTGGTCGCGCCGCGGCTCTGTAAACAACACGTAGCCGTACCTTGGACTGTGATAACATCACAGAATATGATGCCGTTGAAAATGTTTAATACACATGGCCGTGCACCCTGTGAAGCAGTCTGAGTTCTTTCACGGCCCATTTAAACCTATGACGTAGGTGAAGCCTTGCGGCTCAGGACTACTCACCTTCGCTGTGATTGGGCCGTGTGCCTCCAGACGAGCCACAAGATGGTCTATATCCCCTTCGTTCACCAGCTGTACGTCCTGTTTGTTCATGGTCGGACCGAGCATGAGCCCTCACCGCCACTGGCGCGCCGATAAAGCCGACTGACAGCTGCCCGTGGGCGTGCCAGACCCATGGTGACAGGAGGCCCTGCTCCGGCCCGATAGTGGCAACACCAGGTCTGAGATCTCTCCCTCTCAAGGCCGTTCTCGGCTGCAGGCGACAGCGGACCGTCCTGGCACGCCTCCTGTGCCAAGGTCGGGGTGCGCAACGACCACAGAGCATGTGTCCTCCATGGCCTACAGCGCACATTACCGCGAGATGGCGTTGCGCGCGGCACATCTATCCACCTCGGGCCGCCTGCTGCGTTTTCCAATGTGCGAGTACGGTTTTTGTTTGTCACGTTTTGCCTTGGCGTACGCTCCGGAAGTGCGCGCCAAGACGACCTAGCACCTAGCGAACACGCTACGGGACGAGTTTGACCACATTATGCGAGGCACCGTTTTAACTCGGAAAACGCCATGTCGTTCGATTGCCAATTTATTTCGACGTTTGATAGTACCGTCACAGCCATGTTTGAGAATGGTTGTAAACGCTGTGTACGCATAGAAGTACTCAGGGTTGTCGATTTCTCAAAATTGTTGGGGGACAGAGTCTTTGGATGCTACCGTATAAGGAAAGTTGCGTTGAACTTCTCGGCTATTACCCGTTTTTGTTTCTGGCATGCAATGATATATATACATACATACACATGCACATGTTATATATATATATATATATATATATATATATATATATATATATATATAGGTGTGTGAAGCATATATGCATAAAAGCAACGGCAAAGTCAAGGTAGCCTCAGCGCGGGCTAACGTGCGATCAGCCGCACCGAAACGCGCGTCACCGGCTTCGGACAACATGCCACCTAAGCCGAGCGCGAGTGGCCTTCCGTCGTCTGGCCAAATCACACCCAGCCTCGCTTCCATTCCCACTATTAAAACCCAGACCGTCAGCTGTTAATCATGTTAATATCCATATATATATATATATATATATATATATATATATATATATATATAGACGCTTCAAAGCTTGTATTTATAAATTTTGACCGGCAGTTATACGCGCTACGATGACGTTTTCGTCGGACCGCCCGGCTGCTGGACGCCATCATCTTACACTGTTTCTTGCGTCGCACCGACTTCTGCTGGATAGACTTGCGCCCAGAACACGTTGCAGACCGAACTGTAGCCTAGCGGTTTCATCATGTTCATCACGGACGGCACGGCGGTTGCGACCAGGCAGGGCAGGCGGCGCTGCAGGAAGAGCCGTGTGAGCTCGGCCATCGCCAGCCGCGCCAGGCCTCGTCGCCGGTGCGACTCCAGCGTGTGCAGGAAGCCCAGAAACGCGTTTCTGTTGAGCAGCACCCAGCAGACGAGCTCGCCGTCAGGTGATGACGCCACGTCATTGTCGACGGCGACGAACACGCCGACGCTGAGGCCCACCGTCATGCCGTCGCGCATCACACCGTCGGCATCGGGGGTAACCGCTGTGTACGGCCAGAAACGCTTGACGGTGTCCAGGTGTATGCCGTCCAGCGGCCTCACGGAGACGCCCGGCGGGCTGTGAACGAGTGTCAGGCGGGCATACAGTCAGCGGAAGCATCACCTGTCGACCGCGCGTGACATCCCCCTGACGTTAGTACATACAGTGAGCAGGGTGATTCAGTACCCGTGGGTGAAGATTACGGCAACACCTATATGCAAGCTACTTCAGTTATGTTGACCCGGCACCGTTTGGGATATTTCGTCAACCGCAACCTCCCGGGGGTAGAACTTCCCCGGATATCTCAGAATAGCATCGACCGATTGGAAACATTCAAGTGGCAACCAACCATTCCGGAGGAGCTTTACCCGCGATCTGTAGACATAAGGCGACTGACCACATCGCAGGCAACGTAGCTATTCATGAGGACCGCACAAATATTCGAACGATTTGCTACGGTCCTGTTGGCGTTTGGTCGTACTGGTGCCGCTTGTCGTATATCTTTTCACTCGACACTAATCCAAAATACTCGACATTCTGGCGCTTCAGAATCTCGTCATGATATTAGCAATAGTGTAGGTGGTCTGCTCACTCCTGGTCTCTGATTCTTTGGGGGCATTAACACGCGCCTGGGTGAGGCCAGTTTGACCCGCGAACGCTTTTTTCCAAAATGATTTCCGTACGACGCGGTCAAGTCGCGCCAAAACTTGGCAAACTGTAGGCAATTTTATGACATGTTTTTGTTCACAAGATTGAAATGTGCCCTGTAAGGTCGGTGTCCCATTGCAGGTCAAAATCAGGCTGTTTCTATCACCGAAGTAGCATTCTGCTGTACTGTTCAACTGCATGCGAGAACAAATTATTAGACGAGATCACTGGCCTAAAATGACGCAGAGCAACATGTTGTCTGGACGAGCATACCACCTATCATAATCACTGACACTTATTGAAATTGAAAACAATACAGCAAACTCATAGGTTTTTAGCCACCACGACCCTCTAAATGTCGAGGAAGGACAATGAATTGCAATAACCGCAAACGGCATTTAAGTCACTCGACACAACGACATGTAAGTATATAGTGGCTGCATGAGGAGCTCTGAGGACACCTTAAAGACAACCCAGAATTTGGCATTGTTTCACCCTAAGGTCATGACCTAAGAAAATCAAATCTGGATACACATGAGCTCACATACAAGGCCACCCCACTCTGTACATTTGGTGCCTCTAGCTTGGGATCAAATTGAGCCCCTCCTTAGCAAAGATAATCATACAGTCACCCGGACGCATGTTAACACGCGCCCGGGTGCCCTGCTGGATTCCTTTCTCTCGGGTGGGGGTCAATCCCTCCCCCCCCCTTTGAGATCCCAGGAGCTAGGAGAGCTAAAGACACAAAATCCACAAGGTGTGTTGGTCTGTAGGTGGTCTTACTTAGGTCAATATCTGAGGTTGCTAGGTCATGACCTTCGGGTCAAATGTGGGAAAAGAAGGTCAAATTCTAGGCTGGTGTCCAAGTCGTCCTAGAACCTAGATACCTGTTTTTACCTAAAGGCCACATGCTCATGTAAGGTTATTGACCTGGTTTGATATTTCGAAGGTCATAGTGAACAAAATCATAGAAGACCGAGTTGAATTTTCCATTCGAATAAGCGACAAAGGTTACGCTAGGTAGTATGTTCCTAAAAAGAAAATGTTTACCTGGACCACTCTATATCAGTTACCTTTTCTGACCTCTACGTGGTCCTTTGAAGATGCATAATGCTGTTCCCATTATCAATAAATTCGAAGTGAGCACCAGAAATTGCGCCATTCGGCAGGTCTTAGAGTAACACAATAGGTTGGCTTTGACCTTAATCTGGCATCCATACCCGAGTCGACACCATTGGAATACGGACATTCGATTGTTGTGTTGCCTAAGGAAGTATCTCAGAAATGTATGGTTTCTTCAAACACCCTGCTGTTGCATCGGGCTGAACGATTCCACAAAATTGACTTCGCTGAATCCATGGCCTGATTTTGACTTACCGTAGGTCAGTGGGTTAACGAGGTAAGTCTACTTTTTTGTATCAAGCGATCTGTCATTCGACTGTCTACATCTATGCAAAATTTTGGCGCGGTTAAACTGCGACGCTTAGAAATCATTGCGAAAAGATCCTCAGGGATTCGAAATTAACCCCACTCGGGTCCATGCTAACACGCTGTTCAGTCGTATACGCATTCACGGGTATGAACGTGCGCTTATAATCTTTCACTAACCAATCGTTCATATTTGGCAAATGCTAGCTTTCGGGCACTGTATTTCCGTAGCACCAATAGAAAAGCTGATATTTCACCTCCCACCTGTTCACCTTACATGCAATGCAAAACATGCCTCGGCTGCAAGGAGCCAGATCAACCCAGATCCTAGAGTCACCACACGAACACAACCCATCGGCCAGAGCTGCCTCTCCTTTCTCCCAGGCAGATGAGCACACGCACCAGCGGGTCAGCACATCCTCGGCCGGCGAAGACGCCTCCTTGACGAACAACGTGTTGGCTTCGATGAGTCTGGAGCTGAACTCTCTCTGGTGACGGACGTAGTCCAGCACCGGCTCCAGGTAGCAGGGCCAGCAGTCGGCACGGAACGGCACCCGCCACAGATGTTCGTGCAACTCAGGCGCCAGCATGGCGGCAGCCAGGCGACGCATGCTGGCTGCGTCCTCCGGCGCGAAGGCGTCGACCACGTGCAAGTCAGGCGCGGCCAACTGTCGTAGGTCGGCAGGAGGAAAGCCGGGGTCAGGTCAAGTTGGAGGAGAGCGAGCGCATTAGGCCGGCTCAGGTCAGGCGTGGTTCCCCGCTGAAGGAATGGGGTGTAAAGTTACGGGGAGGGAGGGCTTCCAGAATAGGCGGATATCCAACGCGCACGTTAATAGCGAGCGTCTAGAGCCATTTAGTTCGCTCTTCAATCAACAGCTTTCATAAGCACGAGAGAAATTCAGCTCGTGGTTGTTCGGCATTGTGGATTCAGAGAAACGAGGCTATGTACCAAGCAATGGTGAAATTGTCGGTATGCAACATTTCAGGCTCTGCTAAAAATCACGAATGCATTGATACAAGTGAGTAGCACTTTTGGCCCGTTATCATAAGCAGAGTTTGGAGCACCGAATAGGTTGCTGTATCCAGTGGTGGCTCCCCAACGTCGTTAAGCCTGTATCTCCTGGTATTTGAAAGGCTGATTACTTAGCATAAGAGCTCTGAACTCATCAGTTTCATCTACAAAATCTCTCTCGAAGGCAGTAAGCACCCACGGAGACCTTGCGAACATTTCCAATGTTTCTTGGGTCTTACATGATTTCCTGCTCTAGGTCCTACTCTGCTGTCAAATTTCAACGGATTGTCTGTCGCGTGAAGCTTATTTCAGCATGTTCTTTTATCCACTGACCGTAATTACAATAGACACTAGCGGCTTCGACGTGTCGGGGCTTGCGTAGATCCAATGCTTGCACGTGTTGACGCCGCGCTGAATCAGAAGCAGCAGACACCTCGACTGTAAGGAAAGCGGGGTCCATAGTTAGATCACAATGGCTTGCACGCCGTCATCCAGAAGCTTTCAAAGCTGACGGCGATAAAAGAGAGTTGCAAAATCGATTGGCTAAGAGTGCTCGACACACACACCACACCACAACACACACACACACACACACACACACACACACACACACACACACACACACACACACACACACACACACACACACACACACACACACACACACACACACACACACACACACACACACACACACACACACACACACACACCGAGACGAAAGCTGAGGCGAGGTGGACTAGCATCTTTTCGGCTGATTAGTATCTATGTCCCAATGAATATCGCAGGCTGCTTTGCTGTGTTTAGAATTGAGAGAAAAGTCCTTCCACCTGGGTAAGTGATATGAGGTTAGCAACAACGAGCATAAATCTAAGTGCTCCTTTCACAGCGTCGACAGTCGTACAGCTAAAAAAATTGTGGTGCAATGGTGTCTGGGAAGAAGATTTTTGATAAGTGTAACCGGGGGCTTCCATCCCGGCTTATAACTTATTGCTTCTTAACGTTTATGATTGTGTTGTTTACCCCGTGTATCTCCTTCCCGTTTTGCAAAGAGCGTTTAGGGATTTTCTCTTCAACATGTTTGTCTGTTTAACTTTGAATCGGAAATACCTATTGGAAAATGAAAGCGAGTCTGCTAGTGTTAGAAGCGAAAGCATTTGGCATGCCCTTGAAAAGAAATATCGCATTTATGGCACCAGCCAGTAACCAGCCTTTCTCACGAAGCAGAACTCATGTAAAAACGGTTTGACTTAACATATGTAACCAAAGAACCGTGGCAATGGATCAATAAAATGCTGCACATTACTCGAATTCACACCAACTATACCTCGATACAAGTTACAAAGTAAAGTTCGTCGTTTCTTGCGCGAAATAAATCTGTATCTGTAATAAGTCTTGGAAAGATGACACAGAAGGATCCGCAGAACCGCAGCTCAGTTTAAGATTTTCAGAGCTTGATTTCTCTGATTCAAAACATTTTTTTCAACGCCTTAGGTTTTTGAGTCTTCATTTTTGCTTAACACTGTTCAATTATGGTCACCGGGCACTGGGGGATAGATCTTCTGACTGAATGAATGACGATATTCCCGGATAGTGAAACACGGCTGACCCAGGGTAGCAGTCTTGTGGCCGCCCGTCGATGGTTTTTAGAGACAAAGGAACTGAGTGAAGAAACGGGCAGCACCTCGTAAAAGGCACACCGAAAAGCGCATCTCTGCTATGAAACAGAGGGCATAAAGTGTGCACTCATGTCACATCGCATTTACTCTGAATAAAACAACCGGAACACCAGTGCGACTACCAAAGGTAGCGGTCCTGTGCACTGCATCGGTAGCGCGACGTAAGAAAAATTCTAGAGGAAGCTCGGCACTTTTCGTCGATGGGAGGTTTCCAAATTTCCTGGCATATCAAGCATTCGTTTGTCAAAGCACACTCCATGGACATCTTCCCCTCTTGCAACGATGTCATAAGGGCTACCCGAGAAATTGATGCACAGAGAGAACTCACTCTATCACTGTCGCGCGAGTGGAAGTACCTCTACATTTGCTTCTTGAACACGTCGCTACGCGACTGGTGGAGCTGCAGGAGCTGGTCTGCCCGTCTGGCGACAACGGCTGCACCGGTCATAGTCACAAAAAACAGAGCGGTCCGGCAGAGCCAGCCCGGGAAAGACAGCCGTTTTTCGTCTCGCTGGTACTCCTGTGTCAGACCTGCGGTGCCAGTCTAGTGTTGTAGGACAGAACACAAGCCTCCTACAGACTATTTCGACTACTGAAGGCAGAGCACTTCAGCGAGTCGGCCAAAAATCAGTCAGAACGGGTCTATCCTACTGGGATCGGTAGATCAGTGATCTGTAGCCGCACGCTGTCTACCCGGACCAGCCGGACGTCGACGTCAGCTTCCGGCGGCACCAGACAATGACTGATGACAAGGTTACGACCGCCACCACCGAGGCAAGCTCCAAACAGTGCTGCACTATCTGGAACATCACACTAAGCAGGAATAAATGGTCTATAGGCGATGAACCAGAGGCATGCCCGGGAAACTTATATCATGCTTGGCCCGAGCTAGATGCAAGCATTGTGATGATTTTCGAATGCATGGTTCACCTACGTTACACGTCAGAGAACCACACGTCGCAAGAACGTGCGGCGGAAGCGAAGAAATGCGTAGCGACTCAAAACACAAATACAAATTTTGAAGTTGTATGCAATGCAAAGCACTTTTAGGAGAACATCCACTCCTATGTGGACCAGCCCAGCCAAGGAGATCATGTAACGAAGGGAACACGGCTCGACGGCCGTTCCAGAGTGCGAGCACTCCCGGATTCACCACTGCGGTCCACGAGCTGCTGATCCACTAGCCACGTGTTATGCTGCAGCCCATGTCCTCTGGTTACGATGTTTCAGCCCATGACCTCTGGTTACGATGCTTCGGCCCATAACCTCTGGTTACGACGTCCTTTCAACCATAATTGAGTCACACAACACTCAGAACAAGGGAAGTCTCCGCTTCCCTTGAAGCCGGTTGGGGACGCCAACTGGCCAGGAATCTACCCGCTGCGGGAGCTCGGCGGCGACGGGGGCGCCTGGCTGCCACTGCGCTGTCCATCGGGAGCAATGGCTCTCACTTGAGAGAGCGCAGGCGCGTCCCCGGACAGCAGAGCCGCTGATGGCGGCCACGGACCCAGCGGACTCCACATTTGTATGAGGCTTTAAACTGAGATAGCTTTCTTGAATCATTCGGTGCAGATCAGAGCGCTGCCCATCTTAAGACCCGGAGTTTCCAGCTTCTAGTCTTTCGCCTAATTTCTGAGCTATGCACTCGCGAAGACGCGCGACTTTTTCGGGAAGGCTATTTTAAGGATATCCAGGCATCCATGACGTCAGAAAAACATAATCAAAGTGTTGCCATTTCACTGGCCATGTGGCGGTTCACTGGCACAACAATTATTGTCTTTCATGTCTGGCGCCCGTGAGCACCATTTGCCGACATAATGACCGTCTATTTACACTTAATCGATGTGCAATCTATGCATCACTTTAACGCTGCTTGCAACTAGTTTCATAAACAGATAATGTCGTTGAATTGAGGCGTAGGGTGTACCTTTCTGGGGTTTTACCTCTAATCTGGCTGCAGGAAGTAAATAGCAACTATTTACGTCAACGCCCGTAAAAGTATGATATTTACGGAGCATTTCAACTAGTCTGAGTTAATCTATACTTCACCAGGTATCCATCAGATTACATAAGCGCAGCTGACTTGACCGTGGAGTAGACATTCACCCCGGAACTGAAATAGATTAAAAATATGCTCTGGTCTGTCCTAAGATCATCATTAGTAATCATAAAGGAGCCGGCGCATGGCCGTGCAAGAGCGAAGGATTAGGCCATTTAGACCGAGGATCAGCCTGCAGTGAGACATTGCTGAGACGTGAAGCGATGCCAACATCACACGGGCGGTTGAGTTTGCATATATGAGAAACTCAATGCAACTGTAGTTCGTACAGATTTCTGGGCATCACAAACATAAGAACTGTGGTCGAAAAAGCTGGCAGACCGTTATAAAAATCAATCTCTCTCCCACATGACGCGCATTTCACTGGATCATTTTTTCACTACTGTGACATGAATACACATTTTGTGTTAACAAGACACACAACATAGGGTAGGTGTAAAGTCAGCTATTTTAGGAAGATTTTGTCGTTGTTGTGCATAGTTTCTTCATACGTAGCACAAGAAAGCTCAGGGCATGGATGTACGAAACACGAGTACATTTTGTTTTACTTCTTCATGTAGTGAAACAATACCAATAATTGTACACTTTCTGCATTCCAGCGAATTACAAAAGTGATCGTGATTATTCTTTGATGTAATTGTCGCACAAATCACGAATGCATCGAGTTAGTCCATAAATGACCGGATTTTTTAAGTCACCTTTAAGATATTCCTGGATTTTTAATCAGCATGTTAGCCTTTTGGGGCCAAAGCAATAGCAAGGTTGCCATGGGAACGACCGTTTGTATCGCTATTGAAATTGCTTCACTTCGGTATTTTACGATTAATTTCCAAGGAGCCATGCCAAGTTAATCACGCCGGCGAAAGAAATAGGGAGTTACGTCGAAAATACTTCGACTAGCAGGGAGTAAGTAGGAACTTCTCTTTATGAAACCGGATGTTGATTATCGGTCATATAAACTAAAGCCCTTTCGACCATCAATGATCATTTAAAGGCTATGGGATGAAGATGGACAACGGTGAGGCAAGTCTACACGCGCCTGGGGGGCTAAACGCCGAGAGTTAACCCGCGCAAGGGACCGCTCTGCAGGGTATGCGTCGTGCACCCGGTCGGGGTTCCTCTCCAGGTTGCCTCTCGGCCCACCCGTTCTGGCTTCACTTCGCTTTCATTATCATCCCTATTTCTCTCCTTATGTCTTACAAAACACTTTTCCGCGAGATGGCGTGGCGTGCGGTGTATCTATCCTCCGCGGGCCACGTGCTGCGTTTTCCAACCCGCGAGTAGTTCCTGAATTTGCTGCCATGAGATCAGCAGCTTAACAGCCTGTAACATGTCCGCGGTCGCATAAAGTTTCTATGACGTCATTACTGCCGAGGCAACTTTGACATAAGCTCCAAATATACCTTTTCGTACTTTTGCGGGCGCGTAACTCAGAAACCAGATCGCTTGGGCCTTAAAAAGGACATGACCTTAAACTGCATCAAAAGGTCCTCAAAATAGCTATTTCAGTTCAAAACGTCCTACAAATGTGGAACATTCCCTTTAACTGGGCAGCACTGTACCGCTTGACGTCACTCGTCGGCTGAGGCGGGCGAAATCGGCTCCGGTAGTCCGCTATCCGGCAGTATCCGAATCATCATGTGAAGGGTTGCGAGGAAGTGGGACAGTGTCCCAACCCGTGGATCTCACGCACGCTGACTTCATTGACACTGGGCCTTATGACCAGTGCCCTGTATGAACTCTGCACGTTTCAATACGCATCCGATATAAGGCCAGGGCAGTCAACACTGTAATGCCTCTATACAGCATAATGAGCCCCAAAATTCCCCCAAGCGGGACTTCCTTGACCAGTTAAGAATTAACTTCGTTTGCTTGTGAATTCTTTACTGTTACGAACAATTGTTCTTGGTCGCCTAGGCTCAAAGGCGTCCAATTTGATGTGTTTTTGTTGTTAGGAAACTGCATCCGCTCGGTCGGTTATGGATTCCTTCGGAGCCTTTAGGTTCCCTGGGCATGTTTCATGGGGGTATGGTCCCGTGCCTCAAGATTTGGCCAAATTTGGCGCGGCGGCCCCGCGCCGTTCGGAAACTATTCTGGAAAAATCTTCGGGGGGGTCAACGTGACTCCCACCCCAGCGCGTGTTAAGTCACAGCTCGGTCTCCGGCGTTGGCAGCGCTGTCCAGCCTGTAGAGGTCGTTGATGGTGTGGTTGCTTGAGCTTGGGCCGTGGCAATGGTTTTGGAAGCTGGGGACTGAAGCTCCCCACCCAAATCAGAGCCCAAAAGCGAGACGGCCCATTGGTCGTCTCCTTTACCACAGAATGGATTACTTACAACGCTGATGCGCATCCCTTTTCTTGACGTAGCACAGGCGCTGTAACGGAGACCTCGTTTGCGTAAATATTGCATGCGTTACCTTCTACAATCACCATCCAATTCACATCTTAGTCTCCAAATAGCGTGACGGTGTGCTAAGCCGGGGTTTAGTTTGAACTTTATATCAATACTCGAATCACTCGTCAAGCCTCGTTCACTGGTCGCGCCGCGGCTCTGTAAACAACACGTAGCCGTACCTTGGACTGTGATAACATCACAGAATATGATGTCGTTGAAAATGTTTAATACACATGGCCGTGCATCCTGTGAAGCAGTCTGAGTTCTTTCACGGCCCATTTAAACCTATGACGTAGGTGAAGCCTTGCGGCTCAGGACTACTCACCTTCGCTGTGATTGGGCCGTGTGCCTCCAGACGAGCCACAAGATGGTCTATATCCCCTTCGTTCACCAGCTGTACGTCCTGTTTGTTCATGGTCGGACCGAGCATGAGCCCTCACCGCCCCTAGCGCGCCGATAAAGCCGACTGACAGCTGCCCGTTGGCGTGCCAGACCCATGGTGACAAGAGGCCCTGCTCCGATCCGATAGTGTCAACACCTGGTCTTAGAACTCTCCCTCTCAAGGCCGTTCTCGGCTGCAGGCGACAGCGGACCGTCCTGGGCACGCTGCTTGTGCCAAGGTCGGGTGCGCAACGACCACAGAGCATGTTCCTCCATGGCCTACAGCGCACATTACCGCGAGATGGCGTTGCGCGCGGCACATCTATCCACCTCGGGCCGCCTGCTGCGTTTCCAATGTGCGAAGTACGGTTTTTGTTTGTCACGTTTTGCCTTGGCGTACGCTCCGGAAGTGCGCGCCAAGACGACCTAGCACCTAGCGAACACGCTACGGGACGAGTTTGACCACATTATGCGAGGCACCGTTTTAACTCGGAAAACGCCATGTCGTTCGATTGCCAATTTATTTCGACGTTTGATAGTGCCGTCACAGCCATGTTTGAGAATGGTTGTAAACGCTGTGTACGCATAGAAGTATTCAGGGTTGTCGATTTCTCAAAATTGTTGGGGGGACAGAGTCTTGGATGCTACCGTATAAGGAAAGTTGCGTTGAACTTCTCGGATATTACCCATTTTTGTTTCTGGCATGCAATGATATATATACATACATACACATGCACATGTTATATATATATATATATATATATATATATATATATGTATATATATAGGTGTGTGAAGCATATATGCATAAAAGCAACGGCAAAGTCAAGGGTAGCCTCAGCGCGGGCTAACGTGCGATCAGCCGCACCGAAACGCGCGTCACCGGCTTCGGACAACATGCCACCCTAAGCTGAGCGCGAGTGGCCTTCCGTCGTCTGGCCAAATCACACCCAGCCTCGCTTCCATTCCCACTATTAAAACCCAGACCGTCAGCTGTTAATCATGTTAATATCCATATATATATATATATATATATATATATATATATATATATATATAGACGCTTCAAAGCTTGTATTTATAAATTTTGACCGGCAGTTATACGAGCTACGATGACGTTTTCGTCGGACCGCCCGGCTGCTGGACGCCATCATCTTACACTGTTTCTTGCGTCGCACCGACTTCTGCTGGATAGACTTGCGCCCAGAACACGTTGCAGACCGAACTGTAGCCTAGCGGTTTCATCATGTTCATCACGGACGGCACGGCGGTTGCGACCAGGCAGGGCAGGCGGGCGCTGCAGGAAGAGCCGTGTGAGCTCGGCCATCGCCAGCCGCGCCAGGCCTCGTCGCCGGTGCGACTCCAGCGTGTGCAGGAAGCCCAGAAACGCGTTTCTGTTGAGCAGCACCCAGCAGACGAGCTCGCCGTCAGGTGATGACGCCACGTCATTGTCGACGGCGACGAACACGCCGACGCTGAGGCCCACCGTCATGCCGTCGCGCATCACACCGTCGGCATCGGGGGTAACCGCGGTGTACGGCCAGAAACGCTTGACGGTGTCCAGGTGTATGCTGTCCAGCGGCCTCACGGAGACGCCCGGCGGGCTGTGAACGAGTGTCAGGCGGGCATACAGTCAGCGGAAGCATCACCTGTCGACCGCGCGTGACATCCCCTCTGACGTTAGTACATACAGTGAGCAGGGTGGTTCAGTACCCGTGGGTGAAGATTACGGCAACACCTATATGCAAGCTATTTCAGTTATGTTGACCCGGCACCGTTTGGGATATTTCGTCAACCGCAACCTCCCGGGGCGTAGAACTTCCCCGGATATCTCAGAATAGCATCGACCGATTGGAAACATTCAAGTGGCAACCAACCATTCCGGAGGAGCTTTACCCGCGATCTGTAGACATAAGGCGACTGACGACATCGCAGGCAACGTAGCTATTCATGAGAACCGCACAAATATTCGAACGATTTGCTACGGTTCTGTTGCTGTTTGGTCGTACTGGTGCCCCCTGTCGTATATCTTTTAACTCGACACTAATCCAAAATACTCGACATTATGGCGCTTCAGAATCTCGTCATGATATTAGCAATAGTGTAGGTGGTCTGCTCACTCCTGGTCTCTGATTCTTTGGGGGCATTAACACGCGCTTGGGTGAGGCCAGTTTGACCCGCGAACGCTTTTTTCCAAAATGATTTCCGTACGACGCGGTCAAGTCGCGCCAAAACTTGGCAAACTGTAGGCAATTTTATGACATGTTTTTGTTCACAAGATTGAAATGTGCCCTGTAAGGTCGGTGTCCCATTGCAGGTCAAAATCAGGCTGTTTCTATCACCGAAGTAGCATTCTGCTGTACTGTTCAACTGCATGCGAGAACAAATTATTAGACGAGATCACTGGCCTAAAATGACGCAGAGCAACATGTTGTCTGGACGAGCATACCACCTATCATAATCACTGACACTTATTGAAATTGAAAACAATACAGCAAACTCATAGGTTTTTAGCCACCACGACCCTCTAAATGTCGAGGAAGGACAATGAATTGCAATAACCGCAAACGGCATTTAAGTCACTCGACACAACGACATGTAAGTATATAGTGGCTGCATGAGGAGCTCTGAGGACACCTTAAAGACAACCCAGAATTTGGCATTGTTTCACCCTAAGGTCATGACCTAAGAAAATCAAATCTGGATACACATGAGTTCACATACAAGGCCACCCCACTCTGTACATTTGGTGCCTCTAGCTTGGGATCAAATTGAGCCTCTCCTTAGCAAAGATAATCATACAGTCACCCGGACGCATGTTAACACGCGCCCGGGTGGCCTACTGGATTCCTTGCTCTCGGGTGGGGGTCAATTTTCCCCTCCCTCTGAGATCCCAGGAGCTAAGAGAGCCAAAGACACAAAATCCACAAGATGTGTTGGTCCGTAGTTGGTCTTACTTAGGTCAAAATCTGAGGTTTCTAGGTCATGGCCTTCGGGTCAAATGTGGTAAAAGAAGGTCAAATTCTAGGCTGGTGTCCAAGTCGTCCTAGAACCTAGATACCTGTTTTTTCCTAAAGGCCACATGCTCATGTAAGGTTACTGACCTGGTTTGATATTTCGCAGGTCATGGTGAACAAAATCATAAAAGACCGAGTTGAATTTTCCATTCGAATAAGCGACAAAGGTAACGCTAGGTAGTATGTTCCTAAAAACAAAATGTTTACCTGGATCATTTTATATCAGTTACCTTTTCTGACCTTTACGAGGATCCTTTGAAGATGCATAATGCTGTTCCCATTATCAATAAATTAGAAGTGAGCACCAGAAACTGCGCCATTCGGCAGGTCTTAGAGTAACACAATAGGTTGGTTTTGACCTTAATCTGGACATCCATACCCGAGTCGACACCATTGGAATACGGACATTCGATTGTTGTGTTGCCTAAGGAAGTATCTCAGAAATGTATGGTTTCTTCTAACACCCTGCTGTTGCATCGGACTGAACGATTCCACAAAATTGACTTCGCTGAATCCATGGCCTGATTTTGACTTACCGTAGGTCAGTGGCTTAACGAGGTAAGTCCTACTTTTTTGTATCAGGCGATCTGTTGTTCAACTGTCTACATCTATGCAAATTTTGGCGCGGTAAAACTGCGACGCTTAGAAATCATTGCGAAAAAGATCCTCAGGGATTCGAATTTAACCCCACTCGGGTCCATGCTAACACGCTGTTCAGTCGTATACGCATTCACGGGTATGAACGTGCGCTTATAATCTTTCACTAACCAATCGTTCATATTTGGCAAATGCTAGCTTCGGGCACTGCATTTCCGTAGCACCAATAGCAAAGCTGATATTTCACCTCCCAACTGTTCACATTACATGCAATGCAAAACATGCCTCGGCTGCAAGGAAGCCAGATCAACCCAGATCCTAGAGTCACCACACGAACACAACCCATCGGCCAGAGCTGCCTCTCCTTTCTCCCAGGCAGTTGAGCATACGCACCAGCGGGTCAGCACATCCTCGGCCGGCGAAGACGCCTCCTTGACGAACAACGTGTTGGCTTCGATGAGTCTGGAGCTGAACTCTCTCTGGTGACGGACGTAGTCCAGCACCGGCTCCAGGTAGCAGGGCCAGCAGTCGGCACGGAACGGCACCCGCCACAGATGTTCGTGCAACTCAGGCGCCAGCATGGCGGCAGCCAGGCGACGCATGCTGGCTGCGTCCTCCGGCGCGAAGGCGTCGACCACGTGCAAGTCAGGCGCGGCCAACTGTCGTAGGTCGGCAGGAGGGAAGCCGGGGTCAGGTCAAGTTGGAGGAGAGCGAGCGCATTAGGCCGGCTCAGGTCAGGCGTGGTTCCCCGCTGAAGGAATGGGGTGTAAAGTTACGGGGAGGGAGGGCTTCCAGAATAGGCGGATATCCAACGCGCACGTTAATAGCGAGCGTCTAGAGCCATTTAGTTCGCTCTTCAATCAACAGCTTTGCATAAGCACGAGAGAAATTCAGCTCGTGGTTGTTCGGCATTGTGGATTCAGAGAAACGAGGCTATGTACCAAGCAATGGTGAAATTGTCGGTATGCAACATTTCAGGCTCTGCTAAAAATCACGAATGCATTGATACAAGTGAGTAGCACTTTTGGCCCGTTATCATAAGCAGGGTTTGGAGCACCGAATAGGTTGCATGTATCCAGTGTTGGCTCCCAACGTCGTTAAGCCTGTATCTCCTGGTAGTTTGAAAGGGCTGATTACTTAGCATAAGAGCTCTGGAACTCATGAGTTTCATCTACAAAATCTCTCTCGAAGGCAGCAAGCACCCGCGGAGACCTTGCGAACATTTCCAATGTTGCTTGGGTCTTACATGATTTCCTGCTCTAGGTCCTACTCTGCTGTCAAATTTCAACGGATTGTCTGTCGCGTGAAGCTTATTTCAGCATGTTCTTTTAATCCACTGACCGTAATTACAATAGACACTAGCGGCTTCGACGTGTCGGGGCTTGCGTAGATCCAATGCTTGCACGTGTTGACGCCGCGCTTGAATCAGAAGCAGCAGACACCTCGACTGTAAGG